ACAAACACACACTCTATTCACAAAAAAAATCCAAATAAAATGGCCTCCCCGCACCTCAAGATAAAAAAAGGCATAAAACCCCGAAAACCCCATCCCAATCGCCGCCGCAGCTCAATAATATTACCAGAGAGTGATATTACTAATAAATCAACACAGTAGCGACACCAGCTATGTCACAAAAAAGAACATAGGTCAGGCCTTTTTCTCGGTTCATACCTGAAAGCGGGTGGTTGGTGGTGCTCTGGAGTGGTTTGCTCCTTCTTTCCTATCAAACATTTATTGTCCTTATCTCTCCTCCTTTTTGCGTTTGTTACTCTTCTGTAACACCTCTAAACTTCGGCACTTATACCATACTTATAATTATGACCTTATTGTGTTGCAAGTGCCGTAAACTCTTATTAAAATAATCTTTAAAAAAATCATACCTGAAAGCAGCCATAGAAGTCCATATCCAGCGGCAGGTACTTGCTCTTGAACAAGAAGTCAGTGAAATAGGATACACAAATGAGCGTGAACAGCGAAATCAGCATAGACAGAGTACGGAATGGAAACAGTTGTGTTCCAGTGTCCTCGTCATACCTGTAGAGAAAAACAATTAAATGTAAGATATAAGGTAGGATAAGCGTTAGATCTATCTTATCCAGTCATGGACAGATTTCAAAAACCATTTTCATGTGTTATGTTGCAGTGTTTGGTGAGCTAAAAAAGCTTCTCGTTGTAACATTACACAACATCTCCTGGAGGGACCCCGGGGGGGGGGGGGGGGGGGGGGGGTGCAGGGTCTGGGCAGGAGCGGGGTCAAAGGTGCGACCCCAACGTCAAATGTTTGATGCCGTTCTCAATAGACATCTCCTTTTTTAAAAGACGTATATATATCAAGTTGAATTTTTTACTTAAATCTTTTTCAAGTTGTAAAGATGCCATTTTAACTGGAGGTAAGGTAGGTTATAGAATACCAAAATGTGTGTATATGATTCATTAGTGCGCAGCTGTATGTACACATAGTATGTAGGAACATAATTTAATACCACCACTTAACAACAATAACATCGACAACAAAATCAGTAGCGACAACAACAGCAACAACAAAACCCCAACAACAACAACAATAGCAACAACATCAACAAGAACAACAATAACAACATCAACAACAGTTTTCTCAGTTTTCAAAGAACGGCATATCATTCAGCATTTCCAAGTTAGCAGTCTCTGTTTAATAAAAATAATACTGCAGTCTACGGGAGACCACGTAACAGGTCATGAATCTCATTTGCCACCCGGAAGCTCAATCAGCAGAGTGCGGGGTCAGAGTTACCATAAATTCCGCCTCTTGTTTTCAAGAATGTTTATTGTCAGTCTTTTGTTCTGGCGACGTACCATGTACCCCAACTTCAAGAAGACGCACATGGTCTTGAGTAGGACTTTCACCCGTTGCTGTTTAGTGGTGTTCACGACAATTAGATGAGGCTTTAAGGCCACGCCATGTTGTCACTGCCAGTCACATCCAGATCCACTTTGTTATGTCAAGAACGTTGAGATCTTCCTTGTTGTTACAACAGAAGCCTGGGACAGTTACTCTTTAATATATCCTATTCATCAGAGTAAAAAGTCTTTGAATGAATGATGTCAACGACAGTGTACGTATTATGTCCATCTCAAAAACGTATCCAGAGTTCATGAAATCCACTACATTGGGAAAATTGCCCCCCCCCCCACCTTTTTATTGCCAACCCCCCCAACTTTCTTTCATGTCATTGTCACGCGTAAGACACCTTGTTGGGAGAATGTGAATCCCTATAACTGCTTCATACTCCATGCAACAAAGAGTTAACAGCACTATGACCACCACTGCCATCCTAATTGCCAGAGACAACATGGGTTAAGTGGGATGCAATATCTCAGCAGAAAGATGAATACATTCTATAGAATGTGTTGTCTCGAGCGGCCGTCGAACTCATGTCTTTTGCGTGCTATGTCAAACAGGCTAACAATATTGCACCACAGATGCCGATGTGACAGCAACTTTGTTTTCAACCCACCTGTTTTTATTGCGTGGAAAGGCGAAGCACCTAAGCCTAGTACCACACTACAACAAAACAGTTGGCCAATAGTTTTGTCGGTGAGTTGTGAATAATAAAAATAAGAGAATCCTTCCGCACCAACACAACAAAATAATCCATTTAGTCGTACTTTTCTTATTTTTATAGTTCACAACTCTCCAACAAAATGGGTGCTCCTCCTCTCGCTCAGATGGTATCACGCTGGACTACAGGGCGGATGGGCCAGGTTCGAATCTATGAGTGGGCGTTCTTGAACTTGGTTCCTTTTGTACAGTTTTCAAGGCTCTCAACCCATTTGGCTAGGTCCTATCTGAGACGGACGTTAAATTCGGAGGTCCCGTCTCTTAAATAACCTAATAGTGTTGATAGCAGTGTTGAACTTACTCTTTTCAACCGTTAAAACTCAAAACAGCTGACCAACTGTTTGGTCGATGTGTAGTTCTGGGTTCAGTGGTATTATTCTTAATGACGTAAGGTAAAGACTAGTTTTGAAAACATCCGTTTTGTGCGTGCAACATCTAAAAGGCCATATACCACAGCACAGACGCTGATATGATAATATATAGTGATAGTACATACGCGTTATTAACGATATAATATAACAATATAAACTTTCCTAACTCAATCGTCTTTTGCGGGAACGCAGGGCAATCGGTGGTACCATTCATTCTTAACGATTGCCTGAATGTACGACAATATTGTCTGGCCAAAGTACCATACCTAGCAATACAAAAACACTTTTCCAACTCATCACACTGGCGTCTGTGGTATAGCGATTATGTACTTCACTGTTGCATGCAGAAGATCGGAGTTCGATACCCGAGTTGGGAGAATCTTTCTACCGGGATGTTTTATCCTTCCTGGCCCAGGTTGCCTCTAACAGGCAGGATCGAAGCACGCCCCCCAGGTAATCTAATTTGTGTCGATATAGGTGTAAAAACACATGACCCCCCCCCCTCAACCCAATCGCTCTTACTTAACGATAACATAAAGACAAATTTCCAACTCACCAGGGATACTTAATTGCGGCAGGTATACCCAGCGTGCTCTCCCCTCCCATGAACCGGAAGAAGAGTCCCAGCACAAACGCCGAGAAGGAGCCGTAAGCGTTGGAGCCTTTGAGGTACATGACGCAGACCAGTTGGGGGAACAGGCACACGAAGACGAAGTCGGAGCACAGCACGAACAGGTCATAGATGGAAGACACGGTAATGGCCATCACACACGAGAGAACAGCCACCACCACTTGGGCTCCGCGCATCACCCACACCTGCATTGTTTCTGACGGCTGGATGAAAAAGGATGTTTGTTTGAGTTTAAGTAAAGAGAATCACATCTACCCAATAATGGTCGTTTAGTGCAGGGAAAAGTAAGACTGACTGACAGAAACGACAGAGGAAAGTAAGGAAGTAGGACTAACCAGTCGAAAAAGGAATTTGAGGGAAGCGGTGCATAATTAGTTTAACGTACGTAACAATGCGCTACCCTAGAATTACAAAATTCTATCTGCTCAGGACCATATTTTGAGAAATGTGACGTGAAAGATTCTGAGTTTCACAACATGTCAAGCTTTTTCGAATGCAATTTTTGGGATATGCTGATAACAACTCAGAAAAATCTTACGTTTTTGATAGAACAGATAGAGCATTTGGTTTCTAGCTTCATGGTAGTTAATTCAAAACGGCCAAAAATGTTAGATAAAACTTTGTAATTCTAAGGTAGCGAATTGCCAACTGGTATAGTGGGAGAAAAGGGAAGAAAGATTTGTTTTGTTTGTGTTATTAACACAATATGGTCATCTGGTGCTAAGGAAAAACAAAAGAAAACAAACAAAAAAAACAACAAACAACAACAGCAACAACAAAGACGTAAATAGCAGTGGAAAACGGAAGAAATTAGACTGTTCAAGGCGACAAAAACACCAATTATAGACCGGAGGGTTTTCCGAAGATTTATTTGCATGTGGAGTGTGTTTTGTTGATTATGATGGTGGTCCCACGGGATGTAAACTAGTTCTCTGTGAATACAATCTTCTTTGCCTTCCCATGGTACAGTGTGTATACGATTTTTGTATATGTGTGTCCGTGCGCGCGTGCGTGTGTGTGTGCGTGTGT